GGGAGAGGCTGCTGGTAAGTGGTGTGGGAGAGGGGCTGCTGGCTAGGAGTGGGGGGAGAGGGATTACTGCCTGAGGGGGTGGGGGAGAGCTGCTAGGGGAAGAGGGGCTGCTCGCTAGGGGTGCGGGGAGAGGAGCTGCTGGCTAAGGCTGGTAGAAGAGGGGGACTGGAAATAAAATACAATTATAACTTCAAGAGTCTCTGTTTACAGACACAGTCTCTATGGGACCTCTGTCCCTGGTTTGTAACTAAGATCCATATTTTATATTAAACAAGAATGTTTGTTTTTCTTTTGTTTGTTTATTATTCTCTTTGTACTTTTCTATTCAAACAACATAAATGGTTATCGGTAACAGATGAAGATGGGAGTTGTTTACAGTCAACAGTAAAATGTAAAGACACACTTTATGCATTGTAACTATTCCAGCTTATTGCAGTGGTTATGGTGCAAGGCCTATGAAGATGCACTAACTATGGGTTTTGTAAGCAATTTGACAAAAACTGGAGAATTTACTGGTACCCAAAGTCCACTACTCAGCTTAGGCATTCATATGAAATAAATAAATATGAAACAAATAGAGTTGAGCACTATAGAAAAATATGTATAAAGCTCTTATTTTTTGCATGTCGCTTTAACCCCTGTATCACAACTCAACTTTGAATTCTATGTGTCGTCTTGGTCAGAAATGCTTCAGACTTGAGAAAGGGAGGTTCTCCTGAAAGCTTGTCATTAAAAAATTCTGTTAGTCCAATAAAAAGGTATTACAAGATACGAAGTTTATCTGTATATATATATATATATATATATATTTGACTGTTGGACGCTACTAGGACGTTTTACAAGGTATGACATCATATATCCCTGCAGCCTTTTTCAGTACGACATCATAGTTCTCTGTAACCTCTGTCAGTATGACATCATAGATTCCTGCAGCCTATGTCAGTATGACATCATAGTTCTCTGTAACCTCTGTCAAATTGACATCATAGATCCCTGTAACCTCTGCCAGCATGGCCGGCACATTATAAAGCAGTATTAACAGATCTGTACGTGCTGGCTGAGACAGACAATTTCCATGACTTTGTTACCATTGACAACCAGTGTTTTTGTTACGTATGTCGTGTGTTATGCGATGTATCCCATCCCTAGTGTCGCTTGTAGAAACCTCCAGGAGAATCTAACAATCTTAGTATGGCAGCCTGGACAGCACAATATACTGCAGTCAGGCCCGGTACAAGGGTTTTTGGCTACACAGGCAAATATTCACTTTCTGTGTCACTTTTCCCAATTTTAAAATGTTTTACCCCGTTTAGATTATTTTGTGTTTCTTATAATCTCTTTTTATTGTCTTACCGCCTGTAGTGTATCTTAACCCCGTCTTATTTTACTTCCAACCCCTTTGTGTGTCTCTTTCGCTCAACCAGCCTCCTTGTGTGCCTTTCTCCCCAACACGTACGTACATACAGACAGACAGATAGATACACAATCATACAGGCTTGCACAGACAGTTATTCAGGAACACAAAAATACAGAGATTTCCAGGCCATGTGCCTGAGTCACACAGGCAATATATATACAGGCACACAAACACCGTCATACAAACTACAAATACAATTACACTGCCATACAAACACAGACATTGTCATACCGACACAAGCATTCGACATACAGTAACAATTGCATATGCACTACTCAGCCCTGTGTAATCAGGTCCTTGGAGAGCCTACAGTCCGGCTTTGTGGAGTCCCAGCCTCACCACTAAGGCACCAACCGTGCTGTATGGGTCATCACTAAGGCAGCAGCCGTAGTTTGGTGTGCACCGGGAGCAGGGATAAGACATGATTAATATCCCCACACCCCTCTGCACAGCCTCTAGCATGAACCAGAGCCAAACGCTCTCCTTCCGATAACATTTATTATATTTTTTATTCATCTCAGCTTCTTTTCCAAGAAGCTTAACCATGGTTCCTTTTTCTTTTCACACGCTAATTCACCTACGATCCTTCAAACAAACAGAGGAGAACTGAATGGCAGACCCCAGAAGTTGAGATCTGTCTTGAGGGGGAAAAAAGATGATAAATACAAGTAATGGTAAGAAGTTTGGAGGCATTATGATACAAGGTTTATAAGAAAAGGAAATGTGCAAGAAAGAATAAATCATCTTTTCACTTTAAGATTGTGGGCCTGGGCCACCAGCGCATGCACAAAGCAACACAGAGCTGGGCTAGTATGCCCCCCCTGCACATATCCGGTCAATCGACTCAGTGATGTGCCAACATACATCCCAACCTCCTGCGATTTTAATTACAGAAGAAGGTTGTGATGGTGCAACCTACAATCCCTATATGTTAGTGACCAGAAGGGGAGGGTAATTGCCCCTCTGCCTTTCTTGCTATCCCACCCATAACTACAAGTAATGTCAGTTCTCAATAATCGATCAGTGTAAGAACCGTCATGAAATAAATCATGCATTTCCATACAGTATATACATTCTTATTGACTACAAGCATACAGCCCATTGGTGACATCACTAAGAAAGGCGTTGTGACATGCATTGGCAACCTGCATTCTAGTGAACTGTAGCATCAGATGCCCAGGAATCTATCCAGGTAGGGTTGGTTATTACGTTGTGTAAGAGGAGGGAAGTAGAGCCTTGTGAGAGTTCTCAAATACAGGTATACGCAGAAAAGAGGACAAGAAGTTGTGGGGATATTTATGGGATAATAATAGTAACAGTGAGAATTGCCCACTAATCAGGGACGTATTAGCCGCAAGGCAAACAAGGCATTTGCCTTGGGCGGCATTTTTCAGGGGGCGGCAAAAAACGCCGCCCCCCAAATGCCCAGGGCAGATGCCTTGTTTGCCTTGCGGCTAACTGACATCCCGGGCGGCCGGCGAGGGAGCACTTCCCATGAGCTGACTGCTCAGCTCCCTCGCGCACCGCAAAGTGAGGCTGGGAGCCGGAAGATGACGTCATCTTCCGGTTCCCAGCCTCACTCTGCAGCCGACGCGCGAGGGAGCTGAGCAGTCAGCTCATGGGAAGTGCTCCCTCGCCGGCCGCCCGCCTGCCAGCGCCGCTCGCCCTGCAGCCACTGGACCACCAGGGAGAGAGACCCCCACCCCCCCCCAGCACTCCCAAAGGTAAGGAGGTTGGGGGGGGATTTAAATTTAAAAAAAAGTTAATGTGTGTGTGTGTTTGTGTCTGACTGTGTGTGTTTGTGAGTGTGTGTGTGTGTTTGTGTCTGTGTATGTGTCTGACTGTGTGTGTTTGTGTCTGACTGTGTTTGTGTCTGTGTATGTGTCTGACTGTGTGTGTGTTTGTGTCTGACTGTGTGTGTTTGTGAGTGTGTGTGTGTGTTTGTGTCTGTGTATGTGTCTGACTGTGTGTGTGTGTGTTTGTGTCTGTGTATGTGTCTGACTGTGTGTGTGTGTGTGTTTGTGTCTGACTGTGTGTGTGTATGTGACTGTGTGTGTCTGTGTGTGTTTGTGTTTGTGTCTGACTGTGTGTGTCTGACTGTGTGTGTGCTTGTGTCTGACTGTGTGTGTGTGTGTTTGTGTCTGACTGTGTCTGTGTATGTGTCTGACTGTGTGTGTGTGTGTTTGTGTATGTGTCTGACTGTGTGTGTGTGTATTTAGAAGGTGGGGCGGGGGGAAGGGTTGGGTGGGGGTGGCGCGGGGGGGAGGGGGGCGCCTGAGTTTTGTCCTGCCTAGGGCAGCACAAAACCAGGATACACCACTGCCACTAATTCAATTCTCAGATCCCAAATATCGTTATCGTGTTAAGTGAGATGTACTTCATATAAATAATATCACAATGTTATAAAAATAGATTTTATTTTATATTAACAAATTAATAATAATAATATGTAACATGCGTGACAATAATCAATGAATATCCAGTATAAAATGTTATGCAATACAAAGGAATGGCTATACACATTTCAATGGCTAAATAGCATTTTCTGTCAAGTCTTCTGATTTATGAGGTATCTTTAACACAGACTGAAAGCAAAGCTTTTCACAGCGAAGGGCCATAAAACCCTGGCTAACAGTTAGAATAACCCTTTCAATGCTGGCTAGATCTCCTAGGTAATTAAGATCTATTCTTATGTAATTTTAAATAAAATAACATTTAAACCAGTTCATTAGTCATTTCCTGGAACCATCCAATAAGAGAATCTACCATATTATATAAGCAGATTTTAATTTGTCTAAAAGATATCTATCTTAATTTAGAGCAAATCAATACACCTGGATAAAAACAGCGGTATGCTAACACGTGATAATATCACATCAATATATAATTATTCTTAATTCCACCTGCAGAATGGAATGTTTATAACTATATATTCTTTAGTTAACTAAGATTTCTTAAATATGGAAATCTGACCGTGCTTTATCCAGTCATATATAATGCTATTAATAAATTTTAATTAATTAAATGAAACCAGTATAATTACCAGTTGAGTAGATATTTCATCCGATTGGTAGATAGTCTCAGGAACTTATTTGGATGTCTCTCTGCATGGAGTTATGGTGAAAGGTGGTGGTGGTTAGAAAGTCAGTGAAATTCTAAGTGTTAGAGTTTTAAGAGTAGAGTGTTAGTCTCAGATGTTGTGAGTTGGAGTCCCCAAACTTCCAATTCCTCTCTCCTCTTTTTCTTTCTCCTTTGCATTCCTATCTTCCCTTTGTCTTAACTTTTAAAGGGCCAGACTCTCTGTACGTCATCAGTTGATAACCCAATAGAAGCACTAGAGGTGTGGTTATCTTCCAAATCGCAATTTAGTTATTTGGTCTATAGAGGGCAGTCTTGTCCCACTAAACATACCTATCCAGGAAAGAGTTAACTTTTCTTGGTGGCTATTTTGACGTCATTTTGGCCTATCTAGATAGTGACCATAACTTAAAATTTCCAAGGGTTTCTTTAAGTTTTGTCCAGACTATGTGTCTGGCAAATCTGAGTTTTGACCCATAACTTACAATGGTACCTTACACATATAGACAGTAAAATGTTATTATTTAATCTTCTCTGTCACAATTGTCTGGGTTTAGAATTTATTATATTCTTCTTATCACTTGGTTTGTATATACTATGCATTCCTTAGCTCTGGGAAAGTGGTTAGTTTTACAGATAGAAATCTTGTGTCTTTTGTTAACTTGAAAATAACAAAATGGAGTCTGCTCTGTTCAGAGTGACTCAGAATATACACTTTTAATTTCTATCATAGCACAAGATGTCTGCCGATATAAATACCCTGACAAAGTGCAATACAGTGTAGTACAAGCATGTCAAACCTGCGGCCCACAATGGATATATTTGTGGCCCACCTACCCTGGGGCCACTTTGCCAGCCTCAAGATAAGAAAGATATTTCCTGTCTGATTCTTGTCTTCCCTCCCACGGCCAATCTCATTCTCCCGCAGGCCAGCCACTCCCCCTTCCCTCCTGCTCGCAGTGCCAGAGAAGCGTCTGGCCTGCTTGAGCAGAGAAGAGCAGGGCTGGACCTGGAGGATGGGCGGCTCATCTTAAGGTAGGGGAAGGGGGGCTTGGGGGACCTTCCTGTGTAGTGTGTTTAATTGGGGAGGGGGGGGCATTGTATTAGTTTGAGGGAGGAAACTGTGGATGGAGGGGGCAAAGTATTAGAGTGGTGGGGGCAGTGTGTAAAATTGGGGGAGGGTAGTGTATTAAATTGGGGGAGGGAAGGCAGTGTATTAAATTGGGGGAGGGATTGGGGAAGTGTATTAGAGTGGTGGCAGGGAGAGAACTGTGTATTAAATTGGGGAGGGTGGGCAGTGTATTAATTTGGCAGAGGGAGCGGGCAGTGTATTAAATTGGGGGAGGAAGTGGGGCAGTGTATTAGAGGGATGGGAGGGGGGGGAGTGTGTTAAATTAGGGTAGGGCAGTGTATTCATTTGAGGAAGGGAGTGGGCAAAGTATTAGAGTGGTGGATGAACAGTGTGTTAAATTGGGGGAGGGAGGACAGTGTATTAAATTAGAGTGCTAGGAGGAGGGGCAGTGTATTCAATTAGAGTGAAGGGAGGGGGTCAGTGTATTAGATTATGGGGCAGTGTATTACAGTGGAGAGAGGAGGGGTAGTGTATTAATTTGGGTGGAAGGGGCAGTGTACTAGAGTGGAGGGAGAGGGTGGCAGTTTATTGGTTTTGGGGGCAGTGTATTAGATTGGGTCTGCATGGAGGCACTGAACGCTCCCCATGGAGATGCTGATTGGCTGCGCAGCTTTTTGCCACACATGCACAATAGCCTCCCAATGCTTTCCTATGGGAAAGCATTAGATTGGCTAAAATCACCAAGTGTGATGATCTCAGCCAAAGTGAAGAACACACTCATAGGACTTAAAAATCAACAAGATAACGTCATTTTTTTTTACAGCTGCGCAATAGCATACATTCACCATTTCAGTCCCATTACCAAACTTTTCTTAATAGGTAGTTGGACTGAAACATTGGTTATATGCAAATGCATATCTCCTTAAAGGGACACTACCAGAGCTCAATGAAGTGGTCTGGGTGCCAGGTCGCAGATGTTTACATTGCAGGGTTAATCCAGCCTCTAGTGGCTGTCTTCCTGACAGCCGCTAGAGGCGCTTCTGTGACACTGGAATGCGAAATTCGCATCCCGTGTGCAGAACGTCCATAGGAAAGCATTGAGAAATGCTTTCCTATGGACTGTTTGAATGCGGTTGCGGCTCTTGCCGCGCATGCACATTCCGCTCCACTCAGGAGCTGACGTCGGAGGGGGAGGAGAGGTCACCAGCGACGAGGGAGCCTGGCACTGGATAAAGGTAAGTGGCTGAAGGGGTTTTAACCCCTTCAGCGCCAAGGGAGGGGGATCCTGAGGGTGGGAGGATTGTAAGGATGATATAGTGTCAGGAAAATGAGTTTGTTTTCCTGACATTATAGTGATCTTTTAAAATAAATTGGTTCTTTTCTTTTTACTTTGAAGCCCTACGAGCAAGAGGATGTTCAGTTAGGCAACTTTTTATTTTTTTTGGTAAATATATTTTTAATTAGGTATTTTCAGTATTCCAGTTTCGGTCATGTCATAAGAAAGCATCGGCAAGGACACACAGGTCCCATTAATTACACTGAGTGCTTATCGCATTGGAACAAAAGAGGGGAAAAAAAAGGAAAGAATGCTGATCAAGTAGACAGGCAGTGGTGACACGCAGGTCACATTTTAACGCAAGTATCATTTACGTGTTGGACTCGCAGGTCCAATGAGATGTAAACAGTGGGTAGTACTTTCACATGGTATATTGAATGACAGTGTGGACACGCAGGTCCTATTCCACCTAGGGTTAATAACCGTGGCAAGAGGTAATGGTCACTTTTGTGTTTCATTGTCGTTTGCAGGTCTTGCCATGGAACAATTAGTTATTATATGGTGGGCCCGCTGGTTCCCTAGCCCTTTAGACGTGCTTGTACTACCCTCCAGTGTTTTGTGTAGTCGTCTGTTGTGTTAGCGTTTACTTGTTGGACTCGCTGGTCCCGGAGCGCTTTTAAAGTTGGGCATATGATATTTTCAATGTGTTGTGGTTGGGGTGTAGGGGAGAGAGGGGAGGGAGGGGAGTGAAGGGGGAGGGAAGAGGTTTGGGGTGTACAGTACTAGTCACGATTGTCTGGTCCGTCAGGTGTGGTCTCTAAGTCTAGTTAAGTGGTAGGGTCTGTCGCTGTAGAGGGGATGTCTATTGCGGTGTCTGGTAAAAGGGCTGCATCTTATCCTCCGTTTGGGCCCGGTATTTGATGGTTATAGTGTCTGCCCCAGTCACGGAGTTTGTCTGTGAACCCAGCTCCCGCCGTTGTCAGAATCCAGTGTGTCCATGTGTCAAGGTATTGTTGTGTTCTGTCCGTAGATTTCATGTGTATGTCTTTCGTCCCCCTTAGGGCCTCCATTTGTGTGAACCACTTGTCTGGTGTAGGTGTGTCCTTGCTCTTCCAGTGTTGTGGGATGAGCTGTTTTGCTACATTAAGTATCCTAATAGTAATTGATCTTTTGTATCTATTACTTGGTGTTGTAGTGTGATGGAGGAGCATTGCAGCGGGGTCAAAGGGGGATGGTTGGTCCGTGAATATTTTTAGCATCTTATGTATCCTCCGCCAGAAGGGTTGTATCTCTGCGCACTCCCACCAAATGTGTAGGAACGTCCCCGGCCCTACCCCGCATCTCCAACACTTTGCTGAGTGGTCTGGGTATATTTTGTGTATGCCGCGCAGTGGTGTGTTAACGAGCACATCTTTTCCCATTCCCCTTCGCTAAAGCTGCGGTTTAGTGCCGTTTCCCAGTTTCCTTTGAACTTGGGCGCCTCCGTTGGGATTTGTGTCTGTAGTGAGGTGTATAGGGTGAATACTCCGTGGGGGAGGGGTTCTGGATCAAGACACAGTTGTTCAAACCCCGTGGGGGCGCGTTTCAGTGCTTGACCCTGGGGGAGGGTCTTAAGGTAGCTCTTCAGCTGGGCGTATTTGTATTCCTGTGCGAAGGTGGTGGTGTGTTTACCTACGATATCTGGAAGGGTCCTCGGGCCTGCCTGAGTGTATACGTGGTGTAACCTGGGTAGGGGGTCTGGGATAAGGCCTCTGAACGCTAGGGGGTCGATTCCTGGTGGAAACTCCGTATTGTGTGTCATGGGTATGGGGCGAGGCCGCCTCAGTCTGCCATCCTGTGCCACACCTGCAGGGTGGATTTCACATATACGGGTGTGTTTCCCTGTTTCCCTCGCGATAACCATGGTGCGAGCGCTATGGAAATCCCTAAGTCTGCCTCCTCCACTGACTTCCAGTTTATGTACATCGGATTTTGACCATTCCAAGATTTGTAGGAGGTGGCAAGCAGCGTAATATAAATAGAAATCTGGTAGCGCCATACCCCCCTTGTCTTTCGGTTGTGTGAGTTGCGAGAATTTGAGCCTGGGTCTCCTCCTGTTCCATACATACCCCCCTAATACCTTGCGGAGAGATCTAAAGTACGTTTGGGGGATCCATATGGGCATGGATTGCATCAAGTACAGAAGCCGAGGGAGAAAATTCATTTTGACTACCTGGACTCGTCCAAGCCAGGAGACGTGGGGATATGACCATTCCCCCACATCCCTCCTGAACGAGGCCAGCATCGGGATGAAGTTTTCTGTAAATAGGTCTGTGCTGTGTTTGGTAAGCCAAATGCCCAGGTATCTAACTTTGGTATCTGCCCACTGGAACGGGTTGCTTTGGCGGAGTGGGCCCTCCCTATGCCGAGGCACTGAGACGTTAAGTATGTATGACTTTGCAAAATTTATTTTCATGTTAGATAGTGTGCCGTATTCTCTGAAGGCTTTAATTATGTTCGGGAGTGAGATTTTGGGGTTTGTGACGAAAAATAGCAGGTCGTCGGCATAAGCCGCGACCTTATGGTGTGTGCCGCCCAGTTCCACCCCCTGGATGTCTGGGTCGTGCCTCACCGCGTGGAGGAACGGCTCTAGGGCCAGGACGAAAAGCAGTGGCGATAGGGGACACCCCTGGCGGGTGCCGTTGTATATAGTGAATTCCTCTGAGTGCACCATTAACAATAACTTGTGCCCTAGGTTGCCTATATAGGGCCTCTATCCATCCCCTCATATGCGTCCCCAAACCAAAGTGTATAAGGGCCTGAAACAGATATGGCCATCCGATCCTGTCAAAGGCCTTCTCCGCGTCCGTGGATAGCAGGAGAAGGTCCCCGCGCTTGGCCGGTCCTCCGTGCACTATCGATAGCGCCCTTATAGTGTTGGCCCTGGCCTCGCGACCCATCACGAACCCCACTTGGTCCGGGTGGACCAGGACGGGGATGTGTTGTTGTAGGCGGGTCGCCAATATCTTCGCCATTAATTTCAGGTCGCAATTTATGAGGTAGATTGGCCTGTAATTGCCGCAATGTTCTCCGTCCCTGCCCTCTTTGGGTATAATTGTGATGTGTGCCATGAGGGATTGTGTGGGCCAGTGGCAGGGCCGCCATCAGGGCATGACAACCGTAACGGTTGTCATGGGCCCGGCGGTCCAGGGGGGGCCCGGACTGCTCAGGTCGTCCGGGCCCCACATTCAGTGGGTACATACCGGGTCGCAGGGGGTCCTGCGACCCGGTGTGTACCCACAGGGCCAGCCTCTTCTCCTGGGGGGCCCAGGAGGCGGCCACCTCAGGGCCCCCCAGAGGCTGGCCCTGCTGACACCCGGCGGGCCGGCGCGCGAGGGAGCACTCTCTGTGTGCTTCCTCTTCAGCTCCCTCGTGCACCGTACTGATGCCGGAGCCGGAAGATGACGTCATCTTCCGGCTCCGGCATCAGTACGCGGCGCGCGAGGGAGCTGAAGAGGTAGCACACAGAGAGTCCGCCCGCCGCCAGTGTCAGGGGGGGTAGGAGGAATGAAATTCGAGGGAGTGGGGGTTAGGAATGAAATGGG